GGCCCTGCTGCCTGAGCTCGATGCCGGTGGCAGCACCCCCGTCGTGGGAGCGCATCGGGTGGGTTGAGGAAAGAGGTCAAGCGTGGACCGGGCCTGGGGAGCTGCAGTGGGGTCGGCCACGGGCCGGGGACCACCGCGCCCATCCTCTTGGGACCGGCCACAGCTGTGACAGGGCTCGGTGGCCGGGATGGCGCCGGCCGAGGCTGCGTGGAGACCTGCCCGGGAACAGGGCTTGGTGTGGGGTGGTCCCGCAGCCTGGCATTCTCCCCGGACCCCTCTCAGGGCCATCCCCGCCGGAGAGAAGCGTGAGAGGAGCCTATAGGTGCCAGTGTGGGCTTCTCCGGGTGCAAAGTAACCAACCAAAACCCCATCCTGCAGCCTTACCCCTGGGTTCCTCCACTGCAAAGTTATTCCCCCCAGCTCAGCCCTGACCTTCACTAGCCACCTGCAGCATTTCCAGGAGCCAAAGTGGGACTGGTTGGAAGGAGAACTACTGACCATTGCTCCTCCTGCTCTCGGGTCCTCTCTTTGCAATAGCACCGTGTTGGCAGCGCTGCAGTGCCCTGTCTCACTTGGGCTACTAGTTGGTCCCTCTCTTTTACAAACCATCTGTGACAATCCTCAGACCTTAGTGACCTGGACAACAGCTGTCAGGCTGGATCTCCAAGATCCCTGTGAGTTGCAGATGTCTGAAGCCCACGAGATAAGGACAGGGCTGGCACAGCACTAGACCAATTGGTGCAACTGGAAGTAAGGAAACTAACTGGAGGGAAAGATGAAAAGTTTCCTTGCAGACAGCCCTGTTCAAAAAATAGTGCTGGTGAGTGCCATGGCCTTTTAATGTCCACCAAATGTGCAGAGGCAACCTGCGCTTGCTTCCTTGTTGTGATGAAATTGTGATGAAACCCCAGCCTCTGTTTCTTCAACTAGAAAGCAGGAATAATGTTGGGTAACTATGCAAGCAGTCTGTTGTGGCCTCCAGGTGAAAAATATTGGTTTGTCTTCTCTGCACTTTCCTCCTATTCCTTTTTGTTTCACCTTTTCTTCCTATTTATAGATCTCCACTATGTTTGAGGAGCCAGATTAGAGGACAGAGATGGCTGAAAAATAATCTGAGGAGCTAAATAAATAAATAAATAGGTCCATTTTCAGCCAGCTCCAGGAGCCAGCTCAGCACGTGGATTCATGGTAGTGAGCACAGTGCAAAGCACAGACAGTGGGTGCTGTGTCCCCTGGCAGTTTGCCCTTCCATTCACTCAGCCAGGAAGCTGCAGCCCAGAGTTGTCTTTTACTCACTTCCAAAGACATTGGTAGCAGCAAGGAGGCAAAGGCTAAAACTTTGGGCCGTGCCATGTTCCCTTTCAAAGGAGCGGAAGGTTTGAGTTTAAGCTGGAGCTAAGGCAAAACAAATTTACCTGTCTCTTTGCTGCTGTGCTGAGTGCTTTTGTAATGCAACAGAGAGCCTGAAGTAGACCTTAAAATGTGGAACCCTGTCCTTTTGCTAGGGGGTATAGGTTAGATAGCCCAAAAGATCTATTGTGTCTCGAAGTCAGTGCATTATCAGCATAAAAAAGAAAGAGGTTGAAAGTGTGTGGATTGAGGTACATGGATATAAACATTGAGCCTACTAGCTCTTGGCAGCTGAGCCACTTGTGGCTTCATTTGGTGTTAAGGACAAGGCATCCTTGCAGGAGCATCAGGTTGTGGAGGCTGCAGCAAGAGGAATTTCTTGTTTCACTGCTCTGCCCTGTTGAAAACTGTATTGTTTTATATAAGTGCTACAGTTTTGTCTGTTACTTCTTTTTCTGAGTGTTGACAAGCTATAGCTTTAGGTTAAAGGTTGGACCTGCTCCAAGGAGCTTGTGTTGAACATGATTTTGACATTACACTATGTCAGTCTGCTTTGGAATGAACTTCAGGGCAGTTTCCAATGCAGAATCATGAAGAGTTTAATATCTTGCTTTTGTTATGTCCGTCACTTCAGAAATTACTAGAGCCTCTGGCAATCTGGCAGAAAATCTTGTAAGAATAGGCATTTCCCTGGGATTTTTGGCCCCCAAACAACAAAAGTCTAACAGCCAGAGGCATCAATTATAGAGACCAAAAGGGCTTGGTCAAATTCCTCTAAATGTTCTTGACTGCTGGGGCAGTCCAGCTCTGTCTGAAATTCAAGCCTGGCTCCAGCCTTCCCACCTCCCCTGCCCCAGGAAGGGACCTGTCAAGCTATAGATTCTGACCAAAAGCCAGCAGTTTCTGACCATCTCAAATAGCAGCACTCTCAGCGCTGCTGGAAGGGGGGAGCAGGATGAAGTGGGGACAGTTGTTTACCAAACTATCTTTCTTTTTTTAGGTGTTTGTGGTTGTTTGTTGTTTGTATGGGTGTTTTGCTTTATTATTTTTTTTCCCCCAACATAGTATTAGAAAGTGCTTGAATATCAGCCTGTCTGTGGGAGACATCCGTGTACGTTTTAGAAGAGGCGCCTCTGACGGTGCCTTGCTCAGTCCCTGTTAGGACACTTTGCTCATCAGCACGATTTTGCCCTCGTTTTTTTAAGAAAAAGGGCTCCATTCCGGCAGCAGCCTCACCCTCCCCTGGCGAAGGTTGGCGGCGGTGTCACCCCAGGGGCGAGCGCGGTCGCTGCCGGGGAGAGGGGGGAGAGAGGCGGAGGCAGACGGGCAGAGCCCACGACTGCTGGCCAGATATAGCTGTGCCAGAGCTCGCCGTGGCAAGCGCGGCGTGGGCTGCAGCAAGTGCAGCGTGGGCTGCACCGTGTGCTGGAGTGGCTGGGAACAGATCTGAGTGGGCAGCCCCGCGCTCCGAGCGGAGAGCAGCGTGCGGGGCAGCTGATGTAACAGCCGGCTCAGCTTCACCCAAAGCAGCTGCCACAAGGGGACCCGCTGCGTTCAGCGATGTGCTTCTCGCCTGGCTTTTGTCTGACTGTCATGGCTGAGCCTCGAAAGAGGCAGCCAGCTCGAGGTGGCAGGGAGAGCTGCTTTCCCCCGCGAAGCTGCTGCAGCTCTGCTTTTTTTTGCCCCTTCTTCTTCTTCTCATTTATTTATTTAGTGCAAAATATCTCTTCAAACAGCTCACACCGTGGGCTCCTCAGTTCGTGGTTGCAGACCACGAATAGGGATAAAAACTGAATCTTTGGTGTTGTCAGTCAGAGACTGATTTATTCTAAGCGTCAGCTTGGGTTGGAGGGGAGGGTCCAGTGACCACGGCGATGTTTAAAAGTCCCTCCTATGGGTGTGTGAGAAATGTAGTTGCTCTTAGCTCATCCTGCAGTAACATCATCTCTGCCAGGAGGTGACTGGTTGCTTTTACTCTCCCTCACAATCCTCCTGGGATCTAACCTAGCGAAGCTGAGATGAAACAGGAGCCAGAGACTTGTGTCTCCATACCCTCTTGTATCACAGGTTCCCCAAGATGGGTGGACAGACTGACAAGTTTACAGTCCTGCAGGGGTGGCTGTCCTTGCTTGTGCTGTGGTTCCCAGCCCTCAGCTGCTACTTGCCCTAGAGGAAGTTGACCAGCCAGAAAAATACATGCAAATATCAAACCTAGCTGATAAATGAATAGCTATGCACAGTATGATCCTCCAATATTTTATTTAAGTGGAAAAATAATGAGAACACACTGAAAATATGACAGGTAGGATTAAAGAAGCACCTTTCGATAAAGGCTGGACTTCTAAAGCTTTTTTGGGTGGCCTTGCTCATTAGACATCTGGCTTCATTACTGGCTGCATGTGACTGACTTTAGCTGAGCTGATAAAACCTGAAGTTATGCACTCAAGACCAGAGCTTGACCCACATCTGCTTAGAATTTAATACTAAAGTAGTGCTGCTCATTTAGGATGCAAATAATTGTAATTTGATGTCTGCGAAAAACATCTTTCTAAATTATAAACTGTTGCTGTGGTTCCAAATATAAAATAGGGAAATAAAAAAATTATATGGCTGAGTGGATGTAAAAGGGATGTGATTGCTTGACACTGAATCTTTTAAAAATGTAAAATGCTGAGTGAGGTGTTTGTAACCTATGTGACACAGAAAAACAACAATCTGATATAAACTTAGAAAGTGATTAGAATAATGCAATATTCAGCCTCAGCGTCTGGGATTTTCAAGGGAGAAAACCAGAATGCCAGACTTCACCAGGTTTTTTTTTTTAAAAGCTCAGCCTCTATATTTGTTCTTCAGCAATTCTCTCTTTTAAAAAGCAGTCTTAAAAAAAAAAGATGTCACTTGGCCATGATTAGCTTGTGCAAGCCAATCTAGTAAGGAAAGCACTATCTATTAC